TGAAAGGTATTCTGGAGGCGCTGCTTTAGAGTGCCTCAAGCGTGCAGCGGAGGCGAACAAACGCATCAAGTCACTTCGCACGAGAGACATGAGTGCCATCTGGCAGTTATCTTAGAAAACGAAGCGCGTGGCTTTGAGACGGGTGTGCCCGCCCGTCTCAGAGGTGATAAGGTGTAGAACGCAAGGCAACGGGTAGGTGCCACTACTATCTAGTCTTGGCAAATCGTTGGAAACACTTGCCTTTTCGTGCAAGTGTTGCATGGTCAGCGCAGCGTGATAAGCGCTACGGTCCTTAGAAGTACTTATTTATGCCTTTTGTAGTAAAAGATGCACATGCAGAATATATACGTGCTGTAATGGTGCCCCAGAAATGTGCAATAATTGCTTTTTAATTTACAATTGCACAAGTATTAACGCTGATGCTTGAGCAACATTGGTGGGCGCTGCGGATGAGGTTGGCCGTTTTTAGTACTCGGTGTTGTTAAGAGTGGACAGACAAATGTACAGACAAAAATTACAGACAGACAGACCAAAATTTTTGCGTTGAAGGTCCCCAAGAAAGACTTTAAAAAAGCTGCGCAAATGCTCTGCCGTAGAGCATCGAACCAGCGACCTCTCGTACAGCAGCGCATGGCGCCAACCACTACGCCACAGCGCGCATGTAGTCAAGGGTGCTAATGGCAAGCCACAATATGCCAATATACCATTTGTATATGAGCTCCAAAGAATCAGTGCTTTTTCGTCATCAGTAGCGAGAAGGCGCGACTGGTGTGCGTTGGGTCTGCTGAAAGGTCGCCGACTCTTGCATTTTGGAGAGTGTCGCTTCCTCAAAGCGTGGGTCTCCTGCCCGCACGCCTATCAGACTCGTGTTTAGAGAGAGCACAAAAGTCACTTTGCTCCCTGCCGCAGCCACACTTCCGAAAGGAGCACACTGCTCACACACAAAGAAATAGAGATTATGACGTGTCCTGTGTATACATGTGCATTCCGTTTCGTGCGTCTTTCTTTCGGATTATACAGCGCGTCTCAAGCTGTGACATTTGTTAGTTCGTGCTCGTCCTGGGTATAGTTGTTTCGTGCGTGCTTTCTGCTTGAGGTGGGCACTTCAAGTTTCGAGATGCTGCTGCTTCTTGTCTTTCGCGTGACTTTGCAATTTGTTGATGCAGCGTTCGTTCCTTCAGCCTTGTGGGGAAGCAATGCACAGTAAATGCTCGAGTATCTCTGTGAAGACATGTTTGACATTCGTGTTTTATCGATTCCTAGAAAGAAGGATCAGCCGCATTTTTTTTGCCACACTTGCTATTACGGTCGACTCCCGTAAATACGAAGTTCACAAGAACTGCAAAAAACTTTCAAATACCGAACTTCCAATTAGGATAAATGCCTAACTGCACTTTTATTGCTTCGAGCTGGGAGTTTTCAAAGAAAATACCTTTTCATCGTCTTTTGCCGAACCTGGCTGCGGCTAGCAAGTTTTCCAAGCACTACAGATGTCGCAGTGCTTCTTCAGCATTGTCTTCTTCAACAAAACATAAAAACTGCAGATCAAGAGTTAGCCCCGCAGCATCATCACTAGTCCTTGGTGGCAGATCATTTCTACCTCATCGTCCACTAGCCGAACCATCTGCACAATTTTTCAGTTAGTCAGTGGGCCACATGTATCGACGTTGCTGCCCACGGCAATGAATTTTTCAAAACGGACATCACTAATATCGGCCCAAAAACAGCTGTCATCGAGTTCACTTGTTCGCACTGGATGAAATTCGTGAGCGAATTACGCCGTACTGTTGTGCGATGTCTTGCTTGGCGGTGCCTCCATAGTCAACTTCTTTCAAGACTTTCGGCTTTTGTCGACACGTAAAGCATTCGGCAGGGGCCGCGAGTTGCTATTATGCAACGTCGCCACCGCAACACTTCAAATCAGCTGTGGAAGCACATGCGGAATCAACCCACATTGCGTAGGAGGGCTAGTTGGTTTATCATGCTATGCTTGAACTGCGCCCCTGAACGTGCACAGAACGGAACATGCTAACACACATACACAGTGCTGTGAGTGTGTTTGAGCGTTCTTTTACACTAGTCGCACTGTTCTAACTTTAACCCAGCGCGCGGCTGAGGCACTCGACACATCAAAACCAAAGACCGAGTTAGCCAATGCCATCAATATGATGAGCCGAAGTTGACTAAACAAGATGGCCACTTCATGGACCGTGGCGCTGCAAACAGTGGCGATGGCGACAACACCGCGGTCTGACAGCTGTTTTGACGATCTTGGTACATGAAAAGTTTCCAATTTCATTGAAAAATTATGGTCGCCTCGAGGCTCTCGAATGAAAAACTTCTAATTAACCAACATTATAGGCTTTCAAATAACTCGAAATTTTAAATTATAGCCAGAGCGAATTCGAATACTGTAATATTAGTTTAAATAGATGAAGCTCTCGTCTATCACCCATGTCCAAAAATTGAATGTGCCCAAGAAGCTTATGACGGTTCCTTTAGTACATCAGTGACAGGTGTCGTGGCAACTTCAGGTGTTCAAGCCACATTTTTGAACTTCAAGGTAACAGCATAACATACACACACAAAGCAGGTGTCTTTCGTTGTTGGAAAGTTGTACGCGACATCTCTGGGGCAAAAACAGTACAGAAGTTTAGCCGCGTGAAAGTGGTATCACATGAGTTACCAGTATGATAGGTGTTTTTTTCATGCCAGCATTACGTGTCACGCATGCTTGCTGTTAAAAGGACTTCACCAGCAGCACATGAAGCTGCCCTCGCCGTACCGCATGGGACAGCCAAATTAGTTTTTTTATGCAACTGATGTTATTTTTCTTATTACCCAATCATTCATACATTTTCACGGCACCTTCCAGATAAGATCCTGTGGTGACTATAAACTTGGTATAAAACATTTAATTTCAACACAACAGTTTGTATTCACTCCATCCACTTTGTACTACACTACAACCTCCACATAACGAACCCTGATATAACAAAGCATCATTTATAACGAAGTAAATAAAGAAAGGTCTTGCAGTAGACAGTCTGTTAAAAGTACACCTTTATAACAAAATTTGGGATATAACAAACTTCATTTTGTATAAAATTCACCTTAATTATATAGTCAAACATGGTTATATTGAACCCACATATATAAAATTTTCAGGTATAACAAACTCGTAAGTTATCCCCTTGAAATTTCTTTGCAAAAGTACAGAAATCCGCACGTTTATATCCAACGATATTTTTATGTACCTTAGAATATATCGAATGTCGCGAAAGCTGAAAGGTGCGCTTCGGCACTCCCCTTCCTTTACCCCTACACCCCCTTACACCCTCACAACCCCCCACCCACCCTTTCACCCACTCGCAATCTCCGCTAGAGCGGGGCTCCCCGCGCGAGTTGGAAGGCGCTTTGGCACTCGCAGCGCCGCACCACGCCTCTGTAAAAACTCGAAACGCTCAAAAAAAGTAAGAGAGAGAGGGCTCGTACTGCACTGTCTCAAACTTGCGGAACATTTTTTTTCTGTTTCTTTTTCTCTCTCTCACGCTTTCTTCGGGTACCCGTCCGCTCGGAGGGCAGGCATGAAGGAGGCGCCGTCCTCCTCCTTTTGCCTTTTATTTTTTGTAGCTGTTTTGAGAGTTTTGATTAGCAACCCAAACTTGCGCCTTTTGCTGATGCCCTTGCAGGTGGCTATCCCCTCGCGAGCGCTTTGTTGTTTCGCTGTCGCGTCGCCTACGTACCACCCATGTGCAACATTTCTCTTTTGCATGCGTGGCGTGCAAAGCTGTTGTGGACTCCATGAAACGTAGATTTCTCGTTTAGCTAAGGCCAGCGACAAGAAGCGCAAGACCCATGACTTTGCGACGAAGTTGAAGGCTACTCAGAGTATTGAGGCAGGCGAGAAATTTTCGACCGTCGTTGACGACTTCAGGATACAGCACTCTCGGTATCTTGTTGAAAAATAAGGCAGATATCAAGGCAAAAGCGGCGGAGAATCAAACTTCGGGAGCCTATCATGTGCGCGCTTCTGCCGACGGGAACGTAGAAAAGACACTCTATGCCTGGTTTTTATAAGTGCACCCGAAGAACATTCTGGTGGATGGCCCGATGCCAAATGGTTTGCCGCTGCACTTGGTGAAACAACTATGTCGACAACAGCGGGTGGCTTCACTGATTTAAACAGCGCTAAAGCATCCTTGGCAAAACCAATTCTGGCGAAAACGAAGCAGTCAGAAGCCAGTATACCCAGCACTGTGAAGTTTTCTCCCACGAAGATCCTAAATGCCTGGTGAGACGTGAAGACCGATGCAGTGGTCAACTGCTTCTGCAAGGCAGGCTTTGAGACGGCGGAACTTGCGGAAACCGGTGAAGACGACGCCGAGCGCATAGACGACACTTTTTGCGAGTTATCGTTTCGCTTCCCAGCAGAAGTTTCACACAAAGTGTCCGTAAACGACTTCGTAGAAGCGGACTACAATGTCCAGGCTAACAGCGCATGTGACGAAGAGAATTGTCCAGACGAGGCGCTGGCTATATGCGTGTACTTAGCCGCTGAAGTGGTGGCATCATTCGGCATCATTCGGTGTTGTATCGGCCACATGGAGAGCACCGAGCTGCCGCACCTGGACAGCCTTGATAAGATCGAGACTAGGGTAAACATTTCAAAAACAAAGAACCAGGTCAAGATTAGCTATTTTTTTCACGCAAATACGTCGTTCTGTTGCGGCAAGTGTGCAGAATCAGTTGTCATTCTTGAATGCACCTATTGTAGGTGATAATCTGCTGCAGGTTAGCTCTCGGGACCTCTATTTTTTTATATCAAACTTTTCATATAGGAAACTAATTCGGGATACCCTTCGAGTTCGATATATTCATGTTTGACTGTAATGACATTTGAGTGTATCTAGGTTCATCTGTATGTTTACGGACAATTCAAAAGTGAAACTTTCAATAATACAAAGAAGGAAAGAGAGAACCAGTAACCAGACACTTACGTCCATGAGTTTTTGGCAAATGTCACCGCCTTTGGCACGATCTTCTTCGGCACGCACCACACGCGTTCCAAACTGCATGGCTCGTTTAGGCCGACAGGCAGCCTCGTCGAGGTGCAGGGATGCGGCTAGTGCACGCAGTAGCATCTTGTCTCCGATTCCTCGAGGCAGGTGAGGGTTCACCTGAAAGCGAAATGGCGTGATCATCTTGGCGGTGGTACCTGCTTGCTATACAGCCGTCGAAATTCTTCAGTACAGTAAAACACCTGTGCATCAAAGCATGTGAGACTGAGATAAAGTTCATTACAGTCAAACTCTGCCACAACGAACGCCGCTTCAATAAAATTTCCGCTACAACGAAAAATTCATAATTCCCCGTCAGCAGTCCATAGGAGTCAATGCATAAATATTGTCACCACAACGAACACTTTTTCTTCAATCGTCCTGCCTCCATAAAATTTTACGATGCGATTCCAGGCTCAAATACTTATTGCTATGCAGTAAACCCAATCTTTAACACTTCGATGCATTTTCAGAGCCAGAAAATGCGTCAACAAAGTCTAAAACATGCGTTGGCACCACCAGAAACTGCCGCTCTATTGCCGCTGTTCAGCAAGCATGAGCGCCGCCATTGCTCGATAGTGATGGCAATGAGACTGCCCTGCTTTTGTGCCGCTTGCTTTTGAGCCACAGACCATCCGAAGCTGAAGCTAAGTCGCTCAGTTCATGGTTTCTTTTATGCAGCTGCCGCAACTGCTGGGTGCAACCGCGGATCGATGCCTTTTCCGATTCCAATGCTTGCTTATCATTTTAATTGTGCTTGGCCAGAGTGGTACCTAATTAGAGCGGCTGTTCATCTACAATGTCAACCAAATCAGCTAGCGGCGAGTAATGAATGACAAGAATGGCATGGATTAGTGCAAAAGCCCCCGCTATACGATACCCTGCCTACATCTCGGCGTTGTCGGATACTTCTGATGGCGGACAGCTGCTGGTGTTAATGTGTTAAGGGGGGAGGTTACCTTTGAAGGGCAACTTTTTTGTTTGTTGAGATATCTTAATGAAATTTTCAGGGTACACCAATAGCAAAGCCATTTGAATAACCACAAAGTTTCATGCAGTTATGTTCACTGGTTCCCAAGTTACAGCCATTTATCAGGGTAGTCCACATGGGTCCCTTAGTCAGGGTCCGGAGAATTTGAAAAATGTGCTAGCACCGTAAAATTCACTATGATGATTCCTGGATAGGTGCTTTAGGGCAAGACAGAGCCCTTTTTTTGAATTTCCTTGCCAAAAAATGTTAGCAGAGCACTGAATTTAGTGTTCACAATTTGGCTCTCATCAATGAAGTTTTAGTTAATTATTACAAATTACAGACACAATAAATTGAAAAAGCGGGCTTGTCTTGCCCTGGACAATTTATTAAGGTGCGTAATAAAAAAAACCTGATAGAAATCAGACCAGCAGTTCCAGAGAGATCACCTGACTAAGCAGCCTCACTGGCCAAAAAAGTCATTCTGAGAAAATTGACTTCGAAAGTTTCAAACATTTATTATGGTCTAAAATGACCCTGCAGAGTAGCTAGATGTGTCCTTAGGCTCTCTTTTTCTTTGCCGCTTTTCCTGCTTCTCATTCATCCGTTTCTGAGCCTTTCTCAGACGCAGAGAGTCTTTCTCCGCAGCTCGTTGAATGGTTAGGTGGCCAGGTCTGAGTCCCACTGATGACAACTCTTGGGTGGCCCTGTAGCAGCCGGCATTACACCGCAAAACTGCGTCATGCAGTGCTGTCTCGACAGCATTCATTGATGCATGTTGCTCCTTGGGCATCAAGGACCATAGGACAGAATGGAATGACTCCGATGCATTTTGCGTCTTTGCTCCCAGGCAGCGTTGCAGTAGAGAAGCCTGCGAAAGGCGCTGGTAGACTGGCAGCAGCGCTTCTGCAACGTAGCCCGGAAGATTGTATTTGTGCTTTGGAGGTGGCATGCCATTCCCCTTGCAGGCATTATGACGGCACCACGAGTCTGCACCTTCCGGGCACAAGTCGTGGTGAGGATCCTCGTCAGTTGAGGTGACGTGATAATATGACGCCATCACTGCATGCTGCATTGCAGCCACATTGTTTGAATTGTTCCGCAGTGCCCAGCCATAATAGTCTGTGAGTTTATCAATAAGGGCTTTTGTCAATCTGCCCTTCCCTCCCAGAGCCTGTTCACTTTTCTGCACAAGATTACGTAAGGCTGTGCCCATCCTCTTCCGGACATGGTTCAAGCATTCTTCTTTCACAATAGGGACTAGCCCATAAACATTGTCTTGTTGAAGGGCAGAGAATGTGGCGCTGTCCCCATCAGATACAATGGTTGTATACCGGAGGTTATGCTTGGACAGTGAACGTGAGAACAGAGTTTCAGCTGCTTCAACCTCCATCCTCCCAGACTTGGCATCGGTGTTTTTTTGGCACACATGGTGCTTCAACCAGCTTGCATAGCCCTCGTCTTCAGGCTTCGGTCCTACCTGGCAGCCGAGACACTGATTCGATAAAACTACAGCACCCAAGATGAGGCCTGTGTGATACTCGATGATTGCACCAACTCCAATGTGAGATGTATGTCCGGGCTTATGCCACGTGCCATCATAGTTCACTGTAATGTCCTTGCAGAAAGATGGGTCCATCTCCTTGTACACCTTTTTCACAGCAGAAGCCGATTCTTCATAGAATTTATCCAGGGTCTGTTGCTGTGGTTCTCTGAATTGCTTCAGGTGCCTCTGGAAAGTTCTGTGGTGCAGGCCACGGTGGGAAACATTCATAGTTGCCCAAAAGTCGTCGAGGGCTGTCTGTCCCTTCCCTATTTGTTTCATGGCCGTAATGGCTCTTATATTCACGTCGAAGGCCCTAGACTCGTTCTGACGAGCAGAGCTCCACGAACTTGAAACTATTCCACAATGTGGACATACCAGCTCAAGCTTCGTGGCAAGTCCAAGCTGGGTGCCTCCTTGAACTTTCATCCCGGTCGCGAGGCAGCGCGGGCACGGGGTCTTGGACAGCATGTCGCTAAGGGCATCCCCTTGCACGAGGAAATATCTCTCGCCTTCGGTCGTAGCGGTGGCAGCTTTGGGTTCAGGCATCATCGCTTGAAACTTCCTCTCGGTCGCTGCCATAGCGCCAAGCTTTCGTTGCACAGCAGCACGTTCTCTCTCCGCCGTCGCCAACTCCTCGCACGTCCGAAAACGTGTTTGGATGTGCACAGTCGACGACGTGGTCTCACTGTTCGGGGCCGGAATCAATGCGGTTGGCGAGCGCGACACACCAGGCGCACTTGAGCACGAAACACCAGCCTCACTCGTCACGACGGATGCTTGTGCCGATGGTGTAGAAGTCTCGTCGCTAGAAGCGTCGACGCAATCGTCTTGAAAAGATGAAGCGGAAGCATCGGTGCAACTGTCGCCGCGCGTGGGCGTGCAGGTGAGCTTCGCCATGCGTACGAGCTTCAGCTGACGCTTTCTTGAACCGAACGCGTGCCGAGTCTTGAACTTCGAAATGCCCATCGTGACCGTCAGCGCAACAATCTGCGTCTTGTGAACACGGCGGAAGATCGTCTCGTGAGGACGGTAGAAGATCGTCTCGTGAAGACGGTAGAAGATCGTCTCGTGAAGACGGTGAAAGATAGAGGAGCACGTGTGACGACCGATCGGAATGATGGCAAACGGGGCACACAAAGAACGCCGGCATTGCAAGCGCCGGTGCAGACGACGAGCCGGCGCATGCTGGAGAAGCAGCTACGTCATCGCGCGCAGCAGCCAATAGGAGCCGCGCGCTTCCCCATTCCCTCGAGAGGCGCGCGCTTTGTCCAATCGCGGCTTCGCATCCAGGCAGCGGGACATTCGAAAGCTTCCGCGAGCCCCCCAATCGTGAGCGACTCCCGCCTCGGAGCGCCACCGCCACTGCCGCGGGTGGCGAAAAAAAAAAAAAGCGCAAGAATTCACGAGCAAAACAACATCAAGATGGCGGTGATCGGCCGAGCGGTTGAAAAATGGCGAGCGCGCGAAAATGGGGTATTTTTGGCGCTCGCTCGCCGCTTGCCGGCTGCCGCGGCATGTTATAAAATTTATTTGACGTACTTCCGCGATGAATTAGACATTGATATTTACAGCAGAGGCAGTTTATGAGTCATACTGCCCGAGTATGTGGTTTTCAAAAAATCGACTTTTTCGCGATTTTTCGGTTTTCAAAGGGCGCGTCCCCCCTTAATGCAACTGTTTGGTTTGTTCATGAAAGTGGTTTTGGGCATTGTTTCAGTGTGCTTTTCACCATGGCCTTGCTATGCATGGGTGAGAATCATGTCGTGATGCTGCTGGAAAAGAATAAGAAGCAGTGGACATTTTCTAAATTTTGAGAATACAGTCGCCGACCGATTTTTCGGACCTGGCGGGGACCGAAAAAAAGTACGAAAAATCGAACAGTCCGAAAAATTCGTTTTCGCCAAAAATCTGAAGTTTATTGCATCAGGCAGGTTTAAAAAAGTCCTTGATGCTGCCTTGCCTCAAACTACGCTTGGAGGCAATTTGGTTTGCCCGTATTTGCGCCAAGGTGACATCGTCGCCATAAACGCTCGACAAAATTGTCACCGCGTTGGCGATCTCCGCCGCCGACGGCTGCGGGCGGTCGTCGTTGTCGTCATCCGAGCCGCTCTCCGGCTCCGGGACAACCTGGCGAAGAATTTCGTCGTCAGTGGCCTCCGCGCACGAAACAATGTCGTCGTCCGCACGAGTGAAGTCTTTAAATGTCATTGTGGCAGGTAGAGAATCCTTCTTTCGCCTCCTCCCCGTGCGATGTGATGACGATAGTGCTGACCGAAGACGAAAAAACGGCATCCATCACCGCGTCTTTTAAAAAGCAAACACGGCCTCCGAAACTTAAAATATGGCGTGCGCATTCCAATCTCGGAGGTAGGAAAAGCATCAGAAGACCAAGCTTAGCCAAGCCGACAGAAAATCCAACATGGCGGCGTTCACAATGGCTTGGGGCGTGGCACAAAACGAGCGATTTAGTCCGAAACATCGAACTTTCAGGGGCAAATTCGCCCGAAAAATCGGTCGAAACAATGCATTAGCTCTATGGGATCCCTGACGGTGCATTTATAAAGTCCGGAATATCCAACAAGTCCGAATTTTCGGAGTCCGGAA